CTTGTCCGATCTATACTAGCTAACTTGGGTATGACAGCGGGCGCAAAGAGATACCGACAACTTAGTTTCAGTACTATTTATTTCGTGCAATACTGTATTTTGGGTTGAACAATTTCACTGCTTCAAAGCACAACGCTTTCCTCAAATGCATTCAAACAAATTTATTTATTTATTTATTTATTTATAATACAATACTCTACAGGTCATAAACCCAATTACAGAGCAGGAATTGACAGAATATAATTATTAATAAATCACATTTTTTATATGAATGTTAAGCACATAAAAAGAACTTGTATTTCGTAATAGGTAACAAATTAACTAAGATAAAAAGTGAGATTTTATATCTGACAAATTGCAACTAAATATATCAAGTTCATTGACAATAGAATTTGTTACTGTACACATGGTATGGAGCGGAGAAATTTCCAGAACATTTGTGCGAGATCTATTTATATAAAAAGTATTCGGGTGTCTGGAAGAAATTCTGGGAATGCAAATATTAAACTTTTCTAATAAGGTTGGGCAGTCAATAATACTTTTAATAATTTTAGAAGTTACTACTACACTATAATAATCACGCCTTCTTTCGAGACTGAAAAAGTTATGCTTTTGTAGTAATTCAGAGTGAGGTGTACCTATTAGAGGATAAATGCCATCAGTTTTCAGGCTTAGCAGTTTTAAAAATCGTCTTTGAATTGCTTCTATTCGATCTATATGATACTGATAAAAGGGGCTCCACACAACTGAAGCATATTCTAACTTTGATCTTATAAAAGCATAAAATAGAGTTTTTAAGGTAGAGGTTTCTTTGAAATCACTACTGCTACGTGCAATTAATCCGTACATTCGATAGGAGGAGGATACAACATTATCAATATGCTTATTAAATGATAGTGCAGTGTCAAACGTGACGCCAAGGTCAGTAAATGTTTTCGGTCGCTCAAGGGCAACGTTTTCTATTGAATAATTAAATATTAGGATATTCGTTTTTAAACTGTATGACATAACTTTACATTTATCCGGGTTTAGTGACAAGTTATTTTGATAACACCATTCAACAATCCGTGTGAAGTTTGTTGAAAGGTTCTCGCAATCACCTATCTTCTCTACGAGGCAGTATAGTTTTAGATTATCAGCATACAAAACGAAATTTACATTTATAACATCTGCAATATCATTAATGAACATAATAAAAAGGAGGGGTCCTAGATTCGACCCTTGTGGAACACCAGAAGAAGCACTATATTCAGCAGACCTAAAACCATTGAGCTGGACATATTGCTTTCGGTCCCATAGATAGGATTGAAATAGTGAAATTAAAGACGGAGATAATCCAAAAGCTACAAGTTTGTTAAGCAGAATGCCATGATCAAGTCTGTCGAAGGCCTTAGAAAAGTCTGTGTAAATAATATCAGTTTGGGCTCTGTTGTCAATAGATTCAGCAATATATTGGGTAACGGTCAGGAGGTTGGAGACTGTTGAACGACTTTTCATGAAACCATGTTGATTTATACTTATATTACAACTTACATGACGACATATAACTCGCTCTAACAGGATTTCAAAAACCTTTGCAAAGTTGCATATAATAGAGATAGGTCGATAATTTGAAATATCTTGTCTATCTCCTTTCTTGAAAATGGGACAGACCTTTGAGGATTTCCAGATCTCTGGTATTGTAGCCGATTTTAAACAAATATTAATTAGTATGGAGAGAGGACGAGCAAGCACAGAACAATCTTTTAGGACAAAAGCTGGAATATCGTCTGATCCGGTGGTCTTTTTTGGCTTAAATGATCTTAGTGCCTCATATACTTCCTTTTCACTGAAGCTTGTAATATTTAAAAAGTGATTATTTGTCCCAGAATGATATGGATGCGAGTCCGAGCTCTAGTGACCGGTTCGAATAAGCAATTTCTTGTTTTTATATCACTTGCATCTCATAAACACACATTTAAAAGTAATTGTAATTAAACAATGTAATTATAATTATAATTATAAATGCAATTGTAATTATAAATGTAATTGTAATTATAAATGTACTTGTAATTGTAAAAGTAATTGTACTTGTGACAAGTAATTGTATTTAGACAATTTAAATAATATAAATTATTCTAATTACAAAGTATAATTCCTCCACAAATTTTGCTGCAATAACAATTCCATATTACTTTAAAGAAAGTACTTAAATACAATTACAAATTACATAAAAAAGTAATTGTAATTATTAATTACTTTTTAACTAGGAATTACCCAGCTCTGATAAAATATATATACAGTGTCACACATAAAGTCCGCATCATATGGGATTTTTTCCTAATTGCTGTAAATTTTGACTGTCATCATTTTAAGCTTGACAAATTATAACAAATTACATGTAAATGGTCAAAGGGTGACTTTGAAAATGTCAAATTGGACAATTTTTCTTAAAAATTGCAAAAATGGTATTATTTTTCAAAATATCGAAAAATGCATAAGGAAAAAGTTGCTTATTATTTAATGAGTAACCTAAAAATGAATTGATAAAAAAATTGAAAAAAAAAACAAAGGCTGAAAGTTGATATATGAGCAAAAAAATAATAAGTAGCTTTTTTCTCGGGCCTTTTGTGAAATTTTGAAAAATAATGCTACTTTTGCAATTTTTTGAAAAATGTCAAATTTGTCATTTACAAAAAGTTATTAAGAATTTAAAAAAAAAACGAGAGTGCCAGATCAATGTATTAAAATTGGAATCATGTTCTTATATTTAGCCGTACGTTCATGAATACATTCATAAATTCAGTTTTGGAATTATATTTTCCATGTTTGACGATTTTTATGAAAATAACTTATTTTTCTAAAAATTAATTTATGCGTAGCTTTATGAATATACAATGTATTATTATCACGAGCATGTAAGTCGTTTAAATTTAGCCTTACTGACATCTGCGACGGTTATGACATACTTTACTTCCTGGGTATGTTAATAGCTTTTATTTACAATAAACATAACATCCAAAGATAAGAGACATAAAGATAGAAAATGCTTACAAGAAGAACATGCTTAACAACGACAAGCTTGAACGCTGTTAACATCTGTCCCACTATGTGGCGCTTTCATCGATATTAAACAAATAACGCAGTGGAAAATTTAAAAACCGGATAATAAAGGTTGTAAATATGCACTTTCATATTCTGGTAAATAAATTTAAACAATGTTAATTACGCTAAATTGTTTATTAAAAAGAATACTATTATCGATTAGTTATTCTAAATCTATTCATTACAAATATTTTTTAATTTTTGATCGTTATTTGTTACTTTAACATTTGTTTTTCTTATTTTCCAAACGAGTGGCCAATGGTGTCTCATTTTTAAAAATGTTGACTGCAAACTCCATAATGGGAATTCAGATATTTTTCTTCCTATATCACATCTTCTCTCCAACGTTTTGAATGTATTTTCTTGCTCTAACACAATAAATTATAATAAATAAATAATTTGTGATAAAAGTTTGCTAGGTACTGTTTGGGTTTCTTACATGACTAGATCTTACTTTGGTAAATTAAAGAACGCCACATGGGGTTGTTACATTTATTCGTGAGGCATGTGTTACTAATGCAATACGTGCTCAGCCTCATTATTGTAATATTTCAAAACATAATTATTGTTCTCAAAACAACTACAACCATTTCACTTAGTTCACCTTACAATATAAACCATTGATCAACTCAAAAATTCAAATTCGGGATTCTACGATATACATACAACTGACATTTATTTTTACAAATTGTCCAATGCTGTCCATGTCTACTGTCTGTCTACAAACTACTTGTGCCTTTAGTTAACATCTGAGACGCATAGATTATGCCATCGTTGCTGCGATCGTTGCGTTTCCTATCTTTATGTTTCTGATCCCTGATATCATCCTTACCAAGTGCTCTAAATTAACCCTAGGAGATTTTTATATTATGAAATAGTTCTAAATACAAAACTGTCAACAAAAGACAAACAATAATAGAGAGCTCACGATTATTAAAATGCCCAACTATTTCATAAGATATTTCAATCCGGACCTGGGAGTCTTTTAAGGGACACACAATCTTATTGCTTATCTACATCTCGAATATTAGGTAATAATAAAGGTCGTCGTCTAATACTGATTTATGACCTTACAGTATTTCTGGTTCCACTTTGCGTTCTGTTTATATAGGTAGGTAAACTTAAAATAAATGCGATCCATTATTTTTTCATTTAATTAACTTCTCTTAACTAACTATACTAAGTTGATACTTTTTTAACTGTGTATAGAATTCATTAAAATAAACAACTTTTTCAAATAACTTTAAAAAAATTTAAAAATGAGAACTTAATTTATTCCAAAATATATCCAATATGGTTCTGTGTAACTTTGTCCATTCACCTCTTCTCGTAATCGGCCTTCTTACATGTCCTCCACAATGTTCCCGCAAATTACCCGCATTCATAGCCCGTTGAGTTTGATAAATGAAAGTTTTGAGACTAAGATGCGCCTGCAAACACACTATTGAAATCAAAATCACTAACGACTGAATTACAATAACCCGTGTAGTGTGATTCATACAAAAGAAAAAACCAAAAAACTGATAAAAAACATTTAATTTTTGATACACAATGCCAGGCCCGGATTTAGGATTTTTTAAATTTTGATTCTATAATTTTTTGAAAAATATGTTTATTTTAAAGACTTCTACTGTTTAAAAAAGTATCAACTTAGAATTCATTATGTATAAGGCATTTTGTTCCGGTTTCAGCAGGTTGCAAGAATATTCATTAAAATTTATGAGCCTTATAAACTTCGATGGAGCTCGAAAACGTGATATTTCTGTATGACATGAACTCACAATTTAAACATCTGTCAAAGTTTATCAGACTCCTGTTAAAATTATTCGGATATCCTAATCTATATAAACCTAACCTTATATAGAATTATTGAGCATTTTTTATGAATTAAGAATTTATGTGAAATTTATTTGTAGGCGATAGATCTAAAATAAAAGTACAAGGAAAAAGAAAATTAGGAGCAAGGCAACTACATCCTGAAACCGTTGTATGTAAAGTAAAACTTGAAGGCGAAGAGGAACTGCGAAATGTAAGAGCCGGCATAACTGGGTACTTAATAGAAATCAATGAACTGATTAAGAAGAATCCTAACTTACTAAAAACTGATCCAAAATGTGATGGTTTCTTAGCAATTGTGATGCCAAAAGGCCCGCTCCGAGATACAGAAATATTAGTTAATAATAACCACTTAATTAAGGAAGAAAAATATTTCGAATTGTTGCAAAATTTAGAATTGAACAAATGATTAAATATTGGTAATAAATATTGCTTCGTTTTTTATTTTTCTAGTACCAGACAAATTTTTTTAAGAAAGGAAGGAACTAATAGAAATGCATCATCTGTTGGCTTGTTATGATCTCAATAAACTAATAGTAATTGTAACCGATTCATCAGCATGCTAACTTACTACACAGAAGAAAGGCGGTTTGTATCAGTAGCTTTGTCTAAAGCGGAACAAAAGTATTTTCAGAAATGGAAGCTTAAAGTAATTTTTAGGAATTAAAATTCAATATTCAATAGTGGAGAAAATTAAAAATCAAAAATTTTAAATTAAGCGTATCTATCGATATCTAAAGCTTCCCTCTGTTATATGCAAGGTAGGGATGAAATGGTCTAGTACTTGATGCATTAGCGACGTATGTTAGTGTTTCATCACAGGTTTCTTTTTGCCTTCTGAAAATTTATGTCACTCTCTTATTGAGTCTTCTTATCAGATTGTTGTCAAGAAGCTGGATCGCCTCAACGTTCACATGGTGGAGTCGTTGATCATGACTCTTGTAGCGAATCTGATAGTTTTTTCAACAGTGTCCATATGAAGATCTCGATGGAGGTCGCTGTTTTTAATGTACCAAGGAGCATCGACAATGTTCCTCAATACTTGGTTCTGAAATCTCTGGATTCTTGTCTTTTATCTCCAGCGAATTCTTGCATCTACTGTAATACCTAGATATGTTGCTGAGTTAGCGTAAGGGATCTGGACATTATGTTAGTTGGTATTTGTTGACCATTTTTGTTAGTAAAATTAATATTAACAGATTTAGTTTCTTATGTGCCATCTTTTGTTTAAATTATTTATTTAATTAACTGATGTGTGTAATTTATTTGCAGCTCATGATCTTTTCCTATCATCTGCAAATGTAGCTATTGTGTCTTGTTCTAGTTCGGGTATGTCACAAAAGTGTATCAGGTATAAAGTAGGTCCCTGGTACCCCTGCTTTGATTTATTTAAATTCAGTGTATGCTTCATCTTGTTTCACTCTAATGAACCCAGCTAGCATATAACGTTGCCAAGCTTTTCGGCGATGTTGTTTTAAGGGAACGTAATAACATTACTATACAACGTAAATGCAACGTTCATGAGAAGTTGTTGAGGGAAATCAAAACCTCGCATAATTTCTATTTGTTACTTACCTATTTAACCTACCTGTTATGATAACACAACGTAATAAAGTAATTTGCTAAAAGAGTATCTACGAGAAGTATACTTTGAACATCATATTGTTTTCGAACGTAGCCATTCGTTTGTCATAAGTCATAATAAAACCAACAGAACAGAAAAAAATGTAAATTGTCACTTTTTATTGTAGTATGTATTTGAGATTTTAAAGAATTTGTAAACTAATACAGTGCTAAATACGTTTGAATAAGTTTGGTAAGTTCTTTTCAATAAAATAGAAACATATTTTCTAATTTATTGTCTGTTGTTTTAGATTGCAATAATTCAGTTTCCTACTACAATAAAATATAAATGATTGTAAAGGAGAAGATACAATTAAATGACTGCCTACATTTTACACGAAATACTTTTAATAAAGATTTACAAAACTAACTTCTGGGTAATATAAGGTGGCCATATTTATTTTGATCCAATGCTTGACGCTGAACATGAATACAACAATTGGTGATAAGCAGGTTAACATTTTTTTAGCTCCCAACTATAAAAATACAAAAACAGTAGTCATGTACTGCCGTCCTAGCAAATGGATCCTGATCGAATAAAAGTTATAAAAGAATATAAAAAGCCTTGCAATCTAAAAACTTTAAGAGGATTTTTGGGAATGGTTAATTATTTTAAGAGGCTTATTCCTGACTTAATAAATAAAGAAATTCCATTATTAGAATTGCTAAAAAAAGGGGTACAATGGAAGTGGAATATAGAAAGACAAAAGGCATTTCAGGACATTAAGGATATTTTTGAAAATAAAATAAAAATTTATCATCCCATGTATGACAAAGAATTCATTCTGAGGACAGATGCGTCCATAGTGAGATTTGCTGGAGTGTTATTACAGGAACAAAATAACCAAGAAGTACCCATATGATTTGTTTCAAGAACAACTAAAAAATATGAAAAAAATTACAGTGTAGGAGAATTAGAACTAGCAAGTATAATATTCTGTATAACTAAACTTAGATTTTATTTGTTAGGAAATAAATTTGTTATAGAAACAGATAATTTAGGTTTAATATCAATTTGGAAAAATAAGTATGGAAATTGTAGAATACATAGGTGGGCGATACTACTACAAGAATATAATTTTCAGATAAAACACATCGCTGGAAAATTAAATGTCATAACCGACGCAATTACTCGAATGGATGGGAAAGAAGAAAAAAGAAAGAAGTTAAAATTGGAAAAAATATTTTGAAACAAGAAGAAGGAATATTTTCAAAAAGTAAGATAATACAAGATCAAAAGAATTTAACAAAAGAAGATGCAGAACTGGTAAGTCAAGTAAGATCTATTTCCTCCGAATTAAATTTTAGAGCTTACGGAGTAAATGTAATTTATGTGACAATGGACAAAGAAAAGAGCAGAAAACTATTTTTAACTATACAGTTTACTGGAAAAAAAGGAACTGAAGTTGTAGATGTACTTCTGTGATATGTACAGACAGTTGTCTCTTGTGTCCAGGCCCGACTAGAGGGGGGGGGGGGGGGTAGCCGGGACTAATTCCCGGGGCCCGGGCTCAAATGGGGGCCCGGCAGCGCTATAAGGGGGGCCTGACAAAAGGGTTATCTGTTTCTGCATGAGAAATTCGAGAAAGGGGAGGTGGGAAAAGTTTTAGCTTATTAGCTTGGAGGGGTTTTTGCGGCTGAGGACATGCTTTTACTTTCCTATCTGTATACAGATATAAGGAAAGTATAGGAATCATGATTTGTTTCGACCTCGAGTGCGTGTGGGTGTGCGTGTGCGTGTGGGTGTGCGTGTGTGCGTGTGTGTGTGTGTGTGTGCGTGCGTGCGTGTGTGTAGGTCGCATAACTCATGAACCGAAAAACACCAAATTTTAAACTTAAGCTTTATTTTAGCGTCTAATGAACTGATTAGATTTTGGGCAGAGTCGGAACATCTGGGGGGTACTTTATGGGTGGTCATTTTTATATTTTATGGAATATATCTGTTATTTACGTTAGGAGAAGAAAATTCTTAAAATAAAAGTTACTTCTAATATAATTATCTATAATTTTTGTTCTATACAAAATTTTCCTTAAAGGTCCGTATTCGAGAAATTGGACAAAATGTAAAAAAAAAATATTTTTTTATAAAAATTGTTCAAATAAAAGTTGTTTGTAATATAATTCTCTATAATTTTTATTCTATACATAATTTCTCTAAAATGGACCGTATTCGAGATATTTGACAAAATGTGCAAAATTCTGATTTTTATGAAAATTGTTGAACTAAAAGTTGTTTGCGATATCGATCTCTATAATTTTTGTTTATACATGATTTTACTAAAATGGACCGTAATGGAAAAGTGCTAAATTTAAATTTTTCGGTATTTTCGTTTTCAATGAATATCTATAGAAAAATATTTCGAGGTAGATGTATGTGGACAATGTATATATTTAGTTTATCCTCTAAACATTTATAGAGGTGCTGCAATAGGTTGTACAAAATAACCGGTTCTACTCTGTTCCGAAATGTACTTTTCAAACGTAGCTCATAACGTTGGTAAATTTGGATATCTGAATCAAAATTTAAACTATTCGTTAGAGAACATCCTCTAACTCTAATAGCTGTTCCTGAACATGTTCAAAGCAGAACATCCTAGGTTCCGATTTTTTTGAAAACAGGAAACATTGTTGTTGACATACCTCGTGATTGTTGGTATTACGGAGATTCTCCTGATATTCCTTACTACTTTGCCCCAGAACCAACATTACAATCTACAGTCAATATAAACTCTATCCATTTAGCCAGAATCGAATTAAGAGAAGATGAAGCTATCTCTCTCGCTCCTTCGGAAAAGGACGATCTTAAAACTTTGCTGACTCATAATCGTGATCTATTCGGCCCAAGCAAAGAGCCGACGCCGTTTCTAGAACACACGATCACCTTAACTGACAAAAATCCAATCGCTGTTTCTCCATATCGCATGTCAGAATTTAAGAAAGAACAATTGAAACAAGAACTTGACATTCTTCTGACAGAAGGCACGATCGAAGAATGTGAATCCCCTTATGCTGCTCCGGTAGTCCTGGTTCCAAAGAAAGATGGCAGTCGATTATATAAAACTTAACGCTGGAACCCGTGCTTACAAGTACCCTCTACCATGGATAGATGATCTCTTGCATTCAACAAAGGAGACACGCTACATGTCCACTTTAGATCTAAAGGCTGGTTAGCATCAGGTATCAGTTCGTCCCGAAGATAGAGATAAAACAGCATTCATATATCTTTTAGTACGTTTCGATATACATGGATGCCTTTCGGATTGCGCAATGCGCCCTCCACTTTCTAGCGACTCATTGATAAATTCAGAACCGGCTTAAAAGACATACATATTTTAGCTTATATAGATGATATTATCATCACCTCTCCGTCGTTTTCTGATCATATTCGAGATATTGAACAAGTTTTTGCTCGTCTCAAGATGTTTAAACTCCACTTAAATCGTTCCAAATGTACTTTTTGTTATGGTTCTATCAATTATCTTGGCCATGTCATTACTCCTTCCGGAAGCAAACCTGATTCTAAAAAGGTAGCTGCTATTGTAGAAATGCCAGCTCCCAAGAACGTTAAGCAACTCCGCTTCTTTTTGCAAACCTGTTCAAGGTTCAGACGCTTTCTCGAAAATTTTGCTGACATCACCAACCTCTACCAAACCTTCTCAAAAGAAACTCTTCTTGGACCTGGGATCCAAGCCATTCTAAATCATTCGATAACCTTAAAAGCCTATTATATGTTCTAGTCCTATTTTACGTCAAGCTGATCCTAATATTCCCTTTACTCTTAGAACCGATGCTAGCGCGTATGCTCTAGGAGCTTGTT